CTGAGTTATTGCAGCCAAGAATGATTGTAGAAGTGGGAAAAAATTGAGGATCTCGAAAGTTTGCATAACTTGGCGGGTGAATGTTTTCTGCTTCTATACAGACAAATTTTATTGAAATTTATGTTGCAATAAAGACATTCCTTGTCGGTAGAATGGCACTTCTGCAATGCTCGCGTTACTTTATTTACGTAACAATAAAATCCCAATCCCAGCACTAAATACTCCAAACCATCCACCAAATACACTGCTCATGATAACGTTACCGAACATTATACCATCATCGTTGGATTTTCAACGCTCAATCATACTATACTGGTATACCTCATTACATATTTGGCTACACATCATACTGATATTGCTTGTATGGCAACTGGCATGACGTACTACCAAATATCTATACCTGCGAAACTACCCTTTAATGTCATTCCAGGAGGGTTTCCCGTTGGAACACCAAATTATTTTAAACTGGATCTATGGGAGTTACAGTATTATTTGGTGTGCAGAAAGATTATATAATCTCTTCAGGATTCGATAATAGGATAGGCCAGGTTATAATTAAAAACGTTTAAATGATTTTTTAGATTTATATTAAAAATATTTACTTTTTTAGAATTGAGGTATACTCAAAGAAGAAATCGTAATTTACTTACTATAAGTTAAACCTACCTGAAATACTAGATAAAATTGTGACATGCCTGTGAGGCAAAACTGAAATACATGACGAAATCGTGATGTACACTCCCCGGTCAAAAGTATTGGACCAAAAAAAAAGTTATCGCAACTTTTAAATTTATGACCAATTTTTACTTTTAAATTATAAAAAAAATTAATAAGTGAATTTGGATAAATTTTTTTTTATTTTATTCATAAAAACATGAATTTTTTATTTATAAAATTAATATTTAGTCGGATTGCCATTGCTATCTAATACAGCTTGAATTCTTCTTGGCATACTTTCTACTAAATTTTCTAAAATTTCTGATTCAATTTCATACCACTTTTCCTCCAAAATAACCATTAATTCATTAAGATTTTTTGGATGTGGCTTATGTTTACAGACCTTTCTTTCTAAAATATCCCACAAATGCTCAATTTGATTAAGGTCAGGTGACTGTACAGGCCATAAAATATTTCTTATTTCATTTTTTTCTATCCATTCCTTAACTGCTTTTCCTGATGAACAGGAGCATTATCATCTTGAAAAATATACTTTAAATTGGTGTCCAACTCATCATTAAAGGGTAAAAGATTATTATTTAAGATATCAATATATACAGAACCTGTGATTCTACTAAAAACTTGAATTAAAGGCCCAATCTTATTTTTAGTAAAATATTCACACCATAATACCTTGATTTCCTAACTTTACTGTTGGGAATTAACCAACTTATATCATATTTTTCATGAGGATAACACCAGACCTAGTGATGAGCATCATTTTGAAATAATAAAAAGTAAGACTCATCATTCCATATTATTGTATCCCACTCAGATTTCCAATCTTTCTTAAAATGATATCATTCTAACCTTTTTTTTATGATTTACTTCAGATACCAAAGGTCTTCTTTTTTCAGTATGACCATAAAAACTTCATTATATAAAGTATACTTTATAGTACTAGAACTAACTGAAACTATTGACATCTGATTGAATTTTTCTATAATTTCATTTAAGAATTGTTGTTTATTCTTTTTAACAGTTTTTACAAGATATTTAACATTTTTTTCTATTAATTTTGTGGTTTTCTAGGCTAGAAGCATTGGAAGTTTGGTGTTCAGTTTTATATTTTTCAATAATATTATGAATGGTTAATTTAAGATGATCAAGAATATTTACAATATCTTGCTCAACATAACCATCTTTCCAAAGGCCAATTATTTTACCTTACTCAAATTCATAGAGTTCTCAGATTTTATGCTTTTTTAAAAAAATTATATTCAAATACAAGAAGTTCTAAGTTATGCAGAAAAAAAATTGACTCATTTGTATGCATTAGATTATGAGTTATAATTGGCAAAATTATGCTAATTAGTATAACAAAAATCACGTGATCCAATACTTTTGACCGAGAAGTGTACCTGCAAGACAATAATTATTAAAAAATTTTCCATTTTATTTTAATTTTTTTAAAATTTCATTTTTTCATTTTTGCTTTATTTTGTTTAAATTTGATTTTTGTTATATTTCATTTTCTAATTTATTTTTTTATTTTATTTTATTTATTTAATTTCATTTTTTCATTTCATCTCATTTTTTTTATTTTGTTTTATAGTTTCATTTTGTTCACTTAATTTATTTTATAATTTTATTTTATTTTCTTAATTTCATTTTTCATTTTATTTAGTTTTTTTAATTTCATTTTTCATCTTGTTTAGTTTTCTTAATTTCATTTTTTATCTTGTTTTATTTTCTTTTCATTTTATTTTTATTTTTTATCTTTATTTTATTTTTTATTTTTATTTATTTTAAAAAAATGATAAATTAAATTATTTTTAAAAAAAAAATATTTAATAAATTAATAAAACTGTCATACAGTAATTAACAGATTGCATATATAAAATAATATGAAAATATTTCTGAAAAATTATATCATAGTAAAATTATATTTGTGTAATAAAATCAGTAATTATTTACTATAATATATAATTCGTTAATACTATGATGAATTATTTGTATATACAGTAGTGGTCATAAGTATCCGACCACCCGAGATCATCCAAAATTATTATATAACTACCCCTTAAATTTTCCAGAAATATAATATAACACAATACATGATCAC